ATTATTCAAAATGGGTGACCCTGGAGGACATTATGCTGAGTGAAGTATCTCAGTCAAAAGGGACAAATACTGCATGGTGCCATTGTTGTAAAACAAGACTGACATCGGGGTTTGGGGGAGACTGAGAAAGATGGGTTGAATAATGTATACTACATTAAAACAGATGAGGGAGAAAACTGTTTAAAAGGGATATGTGATTAGGTATCTTTGTCATGACAGGAGTCCAGAGCGAAGGCTGCATAGTGAAGTGGACCTGAGGGAGGGTTTATAAAACAATGAAAGAATTTTTCTTTTACTTTTCCAAGAGGGTAGTGTACTGGGGAGGGAGGGATGGAAGGGGAGAAAAGTGCAACAATGAATGAATGGAAATCCAAAGTCTCTGTAAATTTTCATTTAAATGAATAATAATTTTTTGTAAAAATAAAATGTTATAAAAAGAGATATAGTAAAGAGTTCTGGTTATAACACCAACACTGACAATATTTTGTGAGAAGTTTAGTTCTCTATTTTATGGTTGGGTTCCTCCCTTCATAAACCTACCATGTTACCTTATAACTCCTGCTCTGTCTGCCTCACAGAGTTTTGAGTGAATATGTGAAGACAGATTGTAAAGGGCTAAGTGCCTTTAAAAATTCAAGCGACTGATGTTTCTCTTTTTGCATTTTTTATGCGTTCTCTTGCTGCTGGCTTAGGATGGAAAAAAGGGTGATAAGTTAGGCCACTCATGTTTCCCTTTCTTGCTGTTTCCTCGCTCGCTTTTTATGCTATAGCAACAGTGAGAGAAGTGGGGTTCCTGGAATATTTTTCTTACTAGACAAGTATTTATTGGCAAATATTTATTGACAAGTCCTGTCTGGTTCTGAGTGTCCCCGGGTGGTACAAAATGTTAATGTGCTTGTGTGCTCTCTGCTAGGTTGGAGGTTCAAGTCAAAAGAAAGACTTATAAATCTGTGACTGCAATGTGCCATTGAATCAGAACAGATTTATAGCTCACCCAAAAGCAAGTATTCAGAGCTGTAAATTGCATGGAAGATTTCCTATTTTTCTCCTACTGTGTTGTTGTTGTGGACCATATAGTCAGAACCAACCTATTGCTGGCTCTTCAGCAGGTTTTCAGAGGCAGTTAATCGCAGGGAGGAGGTTGTTCACCTTTTTCCCTCGGAGCGTCTGGTGGCCTCAAACTGCAGGCCTTCTGCATTGCAGTGTAACTTCTTGCAATTAGGCCACCAGTCAGAAAGCTGTCATTAAAAACCTTAAGCAGCACACTTCTGCTTTGTCACTATGCTTTAAGAGTTCACTGCGTGGATCATAACAAACTGTGGCTGAGTCTGAGAAGAATGGGAATTCCAGAACATTTAATCGTGCTAATGTGAAACCTATACTTGAACCAAGAGGCAGTGGTCAGAACAGAGCAGGGCAACACTGCATGGTTCAAAATTGGGAAGGGTGTGTGCCAGGGATGTGTCCTATATGCATACCTTTTCCAACTGTATGCAAAGCAGATTATCTGAGAGGCTGGGCTCTATGAGGAGATGCATGGCGTGATCTATCAACAATCTGCGTTATGCAGATAACACAACCTTGCTCGCTGAAACTCAGGAAGACCTCGTGCATTTACTGCAGAGGGTCAAGGACTGCAGCCTTCAGTATGGACTGAGGCTCAATGTCAAGAAGACAAAGATTATCACCACTGGACCAATTGGTAGCATCAGGATGGATGGTGAAGAGATTGAGATTGTTCACAGCTTCCGTTTGCTCGGCTCCACAGTCAACACTCTTGGCACCAGCAGCCAGGAAATAAAAGAACGTATTGCGATGGGAAAGTCTGCTGTTAGGGACCTCTCTAAAATACTCAAGAGCAATGGTGTCTCTTTGGAGATGAAGGTGTGCCTGATATAGGCCATGGTCTTTGCAATCACTTGTTATGCATCAGAGAGCTGGACAATGGCTAGGGAGGACAGAAGGAGAATTGACACCTTTGAGCTGTGGTGCTGGAGAAGAGTATTGAATGTACCATGGACTGCCAAGAAAACAAACAGATTAATCCTAGAGAGGGTTAAACCAGGCTGCTCCTTGGAGGCAAGGATTCTGGGGCTTCGTCTGACATACTCTGGACATGTTGTAATGAGAGACAGGTCTTTAGAAAGGGACATCATGCTGGGTAGAGTAGAGGGACAGCACAGGAGGGGAAGACCCTCTATGAGGTGGATTGATTCAGTGACTGAGGTAATCGGGATGGGTGTGTCAGAGGCAATGCGATTGGCACAGGATAGAGCACGGTTTAAGGCTGTTGTACATAGGGTCGCTATGAGTCGCAAAGGACTCAACGGCACATAACAACAACAACAACAACAACAACAACAACAACAACAAGCTCTTACTAGAGACTCTACCCACGTATTTTGGAGTAAGACAAATGATCCAAGCATTTGAGGGTTTCCTCTATTGGTATTTCCATGGCAAAGGTAATATTTTATTATGCATAACATTGAGATTGAACAAATAATATTTATATTTTGAGAATTGATCACCTTTTGCTTCAGGAGCTCTGGTGATGCAATGAGTTACCAGCCACTTCAGTGTAGAAAGATGTCCAGTCTTCTTCCAAAAAGGTTTCAGTCTTAGAAACCCGGTGGGGACATCCTGCTCTCTTCTGCAGGGTTGCTCTCAATGGAAATTGACTACATGGTACGGGGGTTGGTCTTTGGTTTTGGTATTTTCACTCGGTCAGAAGAAGCGGGCAGGAGCTAATTGCATCTTGAACTCCACCGAGTGATGTGCCCTCCTGAGTCACATGCTAATGGCTGTATTCTAGACCTACTGAGGATGCAGCCCAAGCACAAACAACTGGACACCTGGGAAGATAATTGATTTAGGAGTGAGAGGACCCGTTCTTTCATCCCAGCTCTGCCTTTAATACTCTCAAAACCTCACTAGCATAGAGGCCATGCCTATCTTCCCATCTTCTGCAGAGCCACTGGTGGATTCAAACCTCTGAAGACACATGGCCTTTTGGTTAGCAACACAACATGCTACAGGGGAGGTTGGGTGGTCTAGTGGTAGGGAGTTGCACTGCCACCCAAAGGCAGGCAGTGCGACCCACCATATGCTCTGAGGGAGAACGATGGACAGTCACCCTTCATGTCACTTACATTTTGTAAGCCCATTGGAGAGTCAGCAATGAGTTGGTTACAATTTGGCTGCACATAACAACACCAACAACATGCTACAAACTATGCTACTGGAGCTCCTTAATAGACCAGCAAATTCCTATCCTTGGACTTCAGTTCCCAAATCTTTAAAGAGAACATCACACAAGTTTTGATACTCTATCTACAAATTCCCTTACATTACTGATACTCATTGCTATGCCATTATTTTATGTTCTTGACACATCTTCTAACTGGAGAATGTGCCTCATCATCATGTACATGTGTTCTCATCACTCTTGCTTCCCTTACCTTTTATTGAAGCCAGTTGTTTGGATATTGAGACACTGCCAACAAAATAAACAAAACATAGTGAGTTTGAAGTATTGATAGCACAATCCAAAAACAGAGCACCAAATACTTTTTAATTTCACTTATCTTTTAGAAATTTAAATAATAGCTTATTGGGTCCAAGGTGGAAATTTACACAGCAAATTAGATTTCCATCTCACCATTTCACACAAATTGCTGAGTGACGTTGGTGACATTTTCCACAATGTGTCACTATTCTCAATACCCTGCTTTAGTTAGACTTTTTCTGATACGTTAGTATTCCCGTCCCTTACCCTCCTCATCTTTGTTTTAGAGTAGTTTTAGGCTATTTGACCTCTTTAAGATGATTTTAAAAGGATCTCATTACTCATAGCTGATATTCTTTGTGTTACGAGTCATTCTGTTATAAAATTAACTTATTTTTATATTCAATGAGTCTTCATTGAACATTCTAGTGGAGCAGCCAGCTAGTTGCAAAAATCTTTCCTCTCCTTCAAAAAATAATTTTGACTGTGTAAGACCATTATTGTAGAACGTGTATGAGGATCCAAGGAGGGAAGGGTGGCAGCAGAGGGGTGAGGATGGGCGGGGATGATGGTGTTGGTGGTTAGTCATAGGGTCACACAATTCGGTGGGTAGAAGGGATGGGTAAAGAAAAGGGCAAAGATCCAGTGTGAAAAACAATGAATATGAACTTGGTAAGTAAATCAGTATAAAACAAAAATTTAAAAATTTACTTACTTTGTAAGTAAACCAGTATAAAACAAAAATTTTCATTTTAAATTAAAAAACCAAAGCAAAACCCAACTCATTTTCTTTAAGTTGGAACTAACTCATAGCTGACCAGTGGATTTCCGAGGCTAGGAACTGCATTTTGAGGAAACAACTCATATTTCTTCCTCAAAGTTGATTGTTGTTAGGGCCATCAAGTCAAGCATGACTCATAGCAACCCTATAAACAACAGATCTGAACTCAGTCCTGTTCTGCGCCATCCTCACACTTACTGACACACACAGGAGCCCATTGCAGCAGTCACCGTGTCAATCCATTCGGTTGAGGGTCTTTCTCCCCTTTGCCGACCCTCCACCCTTCCAAGCATCATGTCCTTCTCCAAGCAATAGCACCTCCTCACAACATGTCCAAAGTATTTGAGGTGAAGCCTTATCATTCTTGCCTCCAAAGAGCACTCCAGTCACATCCTCTCCAAGACTTATCTGTTCATTCTCTTGGCTGTCCACGGGATGTTCAATGCTTTTCTTCAACACCACAGCTCAAAGACATCAATTCTTTTTCTATCATCTTTGTTCATTGTCCAGGTCTTGAATGCATAGCTACTATTTGGAAAGACTATGACCTGAGTCAGACACACCTTAGTCCTCAAACTGACATCACTACTCTTCAATAAGTTGGAAAGTTTCCTAAATGCAGCTTTTCCCAGTGCAATGTGTCTCCTCATTTCCTGACTGCTCATAACAAGGGTGTTAATTGCTAAACTGTTGACAGTTTCAATCTTCTCTCCATCCATCGACACTGCCTATTGGTCCAGGGGTAAGAATCTTTGTTTTCTTGATATTGAGATGCAATCCATGCTGAAGGCTGTACTCCTTGATCTCAGCAACAAGTGCTTCACGTACTCTTCACTTTCAGCAAGTAAGATTGTGTTATCTGCATAACTCAGGTTATTGATGAGTCTACCTCCAATCCTGATGCCACATTCCTCTTCAGAGTCCAGCTTCTCAGATAATTTGCTGAGCATATAGATTGAATAGGTATGGAGATAGAATAAAACCCTAACACACTCCCTTCCCAATTACAAACCATGCAGTGATCTCCTGCTCCGTTCTCACAACAGCCTCCTGATCCAGGTACAGGTTCCACATGAGGACAATCATGTGCTCAGGGGTTACCATTCTTTTTAATGTCAGCAACAACTAGTCATGATCCATACAGTCAAATGCTTTTGCATAGTCAATAAAACACAAATAGACATACTTCTGGCATTTTTTACTTTCAGCCAGGATCCATCTGACATCAGCAATGATATACCTGGTGCCACAGCCTCTTCTCAATTCCCCTTGAACTTCGGGCAATATCCTATCTATGTACTATTCCAGTCATTTTTAATGATCTTCAGCAGTATTTTGCTTGCATGTGATATTAACGATATTGTTTAATAATTTCCACATTCAGTTGGATCACCTTTCTTGAGAATAGGAACAAATATTGACCTCTTCCAATCGATTGGCCAGACAGCCATCCTCCAAATTTCCTGGCATAGACTGGGGAGTGTATCCAAGGTTGCATCTGTTAATTGAAACAAATATCCCATTGATTACTGGGGCCTTATATTTGCCAATGCCTTCAATGTAGTTTCCACTTCCTCTTTCATTACGATTGGCTCCTGTTCATATGGTATTTCCTGAAACTTTTCAGAGTCAATCAGTTCTTTCTGGTACAGTGACTCTGTGTATTCCCTCCATCTTCTTTTGATTCTTTCTGGGTCATTCAATATATTGCCCATAGCATCTTTCAACATTGTGACACAGGGTTTAAATTAGTTTTTCAGTTCTCTAAGCTTTAGAAATGAAGAACAAGTTTTGCCCTTTTTATTTTTCAATTCCAGGTCTCTTCACCTTCCATTATAATAGTTTACTTTGTCCTCCGGAGCTGCCCTTTGAAATTGTCTGTTTAGCTCTTTCACTTTGACATGTTTTTCTTTAGGTTTGATTTCTTGATGTTCCAGTGCAATCTTTAGAGTCTCTTCTGTCATCCATTTTGATTACGCCTGGGATGCGTCCTGTCTCCATACCTTTTCAACCTATAAGCAGAACAGATTATCCGGGAGGCTGGGCTCTATGAGGAGAAATGTGGGGTCAAGATTGGGGGATGATTTATCAGCAATCTGTGTCATGCAGATGACACAGCCCTGCTTGCTGAAACTGAAGAGGACCTGAAGCACCTGCTGCAGAGGGTCAAGGACTTTAGCCTCCAATATGAATTGAGGCTCAATGTCAAGAAGACAAAGATTCTCACCACTGGACCAATTGGCAGCATCAGGATGGATGGTGAAGAGATTGAGATTGTTCACAGCTTTAG